AAAAAAAAAAAACAAAGGTGATAGAAAATTTAAAAAGTGACAAATCATAACCCACAATTTTTGATATAGCCAAATTATCTAATAAGTTCACAATTGATGAACAAATTAAAAACTTTTGAACTAACAACTTGAGCAATATAATCATAACCCAAAATTTAAATACAACTAAGTTTTCAATAAGCTCACAAGAAACGAAAATTGATGACTAAACTAAAATGTCAAATGTCAAAAAATTGTATAAACACTCGTGACCGTTAATAAACTAATATCATTCCTGAAATCATTTATATCAAATATTTTCCAAAATCATTTGCATGTTGTGCTTCTTCGTCACATGCATCTTCCGTTTTTGCCTCATCAACAATCTGTGAGCTGAAATTCTATAGAGAACTGAATCTAATATTTCGATCAAAGGTTAAGATTCAAGATTCTCTCCTTGATTACGGTATTAAAATTGTTGAACTCCCATTTCCACAAGAAACAAATGGTATGGTGTCCCTCCAGGTGTCGAAAGCACTGATAAATTGACATCCATGGCTTTTTTTGTTCCTTTCGCCAATTCTACAATACTAATGTAGCAGGATTTTGAAGACACCATTCAAAATCTTGATCAATCTGTTACCTGCATAATCTCTTATACAATTTTTGGCTGGATATAAAAATCTGCTAAAAAATTTGGGATTCCTCAACTGGTCTTTTCCGGCATGGGAATGTTTTCCACCATCATGTATCAGATCTTATTAAAAAACAGGCCACATGCAGGAACAGTTTCTCTCGACACTTCCTTTTTGATTCCTGATTTTCCCAAGTTGAAATTGACAAGAAATGACTTCAATCAACTGATTTTGCCGCCATAGCTTCACATGAACTTCACTTAATAATATGCGGGAAGCTGATTGTTGTGCGAATCCTCCCACGACGGCAAATTCTCGAACTCAATTTCACAGAATTGCGGCGAGGAGCCTGCCGGACTCCGGGTAAGACAAATTGTACAGGTATTTCTCCATCAGCGCCCGTTAGCTTTGAGCACAAAATTTTAGAAATGAATGATTACTCCATTTGAGACCTTGCGCTGGGAAGAAGACTGAATACAAGGGGGATTCATCATTCATTAATTTGCTCCAATTTGGGATTCATTAACCTTGAATTTTTCCCTGCTTTCTCTTTTATTGCACCATAGTTACAAAAATAATTCTCAACATTTTGACAATTAACTAGATAATCATATTTTTTTGGGAGTGAGGTGGGATTTCAAGGATTTGAAGTATTAGTGCGGAGGGGAGTTTGGGGAAGGTGAAGGCAATGAGAGAGGAGGAATTGGGACATTGAGAGACGATCTTGAAAGTGGAGGGTTTTGAAATGAAAGCTAAATTTTTTTTTCATTTTATACCTAAAGGTTAATACCGTAATTAATACATGATTAAAGAAATATTAAAAGGCTAAGTGCATTAATCAATTTTAGGGCACCCAGGCCTACTTTGCCCATTTATTAAAGACAACTTAAGAATTCCACTCATTTAATTTCAATTTTACCATAATTTTTTTCTTATAAAAATGAGAGAGAGGCATTGGAGAAGATTAGGATGTACGATTTTTTTGTAAGTTTCTTCTCATCACAGTAAATTATTATAATAATGAATACCTTATGCCAGAAACGGATGGGGTGGGGGGGGGTTGGACTGGCTGTAGTCTCCCCCAAAGCCTATATTTTTTTTAGATATTCTTTTTTTATTTTTGTTTTTAAAAAGCAGTATTTTTAAGTGTTAAATAAAAAAAAAAAAAAAAAGTGTTCACATTGTAGTCCGACCCAAAATTTTGTAGTTTGGTCTTAAATTCAATCCTGGCAGTAAAAGGGCACTACTTTTGTTGTAGGCAAACATAACTTCTTCTGGTGCTTTTTAATGCTCTATTGACTATACGACATAATCTAATATTGAGACGAAAATCTATGAATTTTGCATGTTCTTGTGTTTATTTTATTTTTACAATTTTATTGCTCTTGTGATGAATTAAGATATCTAATTCTCAACAATAATGTCCGAAACTTTAACGACGCATTTTTCATGATAATTTAACAAAGATTTAAACCATTTACGTAATTGAGACTGGTTATGCCATTATAATAAAATCTTGAGGATCAACTTGATAGACTTGCTAATGGCGAAACAAGTTAGAAAGCCGGTAATGCAATTTACGTTACTCCTGTAATTTCTTTACTTTCGAACAATGGATTTCCACAAGGTTCACTTAACAATTTAACAAGATTCGAACATAATTACATTATTAAGACTTGTTTTGCAACAATAATGGAAGTTTAGGAATCAACTTTCTTCTTTGTAAAGTAGAAAAATTACTTGCTAATAAAGCAATAAGTTGAGGACCAATAATGTAATTTTGCCGCATCTTCAACTTTACGATGCTTAGTTTTGCTTCTGTTGACGCACTAAAAGTGCAGCCCAAATCAAATAGCCCAAGGAATGAAGTCCAACTGGGCAATTCAGGATAAAGGCCCAGATAGGGTTATTAATGAATGCAGTGGAAGTCCACGAACACGGTAACATCATCGCCCAATCTTACAAAACGCCCAAGATCTGAGCGAATGAAGTGCCTTACAGTCGCCCAGAGCTATGACTCTGTTCTCGCTCAAATCTTCGAATCGCCCAAGATCTTAGCAAACATAAGATATTATGGTTATCCAGAAGTGCAATTATTGAAGCAGTTATTGAGTAACATTATCACGTTCCACCATTCAAGGAGTTCAGTTGAAGACGGTTAAACGACAAAGAGTAGTGGCAGCAGTTAGATACGACAGTTCGACAACAAGTTAGCCACCATAAAAAAAGTGGGTAGTTATAAAGCAATCAAACAGTTTCTAAGCAGTTGATCACGAAAAAATCATCAAGAGAATATAAAAGGAAGAGAAGACATAGAGCAAAGGACTTGAATCAAATACTCTCAAACAGAAAATATGTAATTTCAGTTTCTTAGTTTAAAACTTAAACATTTCTTTCAGTACTCGTGTGCTTGCGCCCCTTGGAGGCATTCTGTTTAGTTCCAATTGTAAATCATTGCCAATAGGGCTGTTTGATAATAAAGTTTGTGAAAAGTAATTTTTTGAAAAAATATGATTAAAAAGTGGGAAAAAAATTAGACGTTCATATGTAAAATTATTTTATTAGAATCTTTTTTTTACTTTTTTTATCGTAGGTGTTTGTGCTAGTTTACGCATACCTCGACTAATTTTAAGGGATCCTGAAGTTTACAACTGAGTATTTGTTTCAATGGTCCTGATAGAATTCGAATTGGTGGCCATTGAGAATAAATCTAAAGTCTGATCACTGAACTATCTCTCAAGATTTATTTATCTGAATAGAAGTTTACTGATAAAAATAGTTTTTGTTACATTTTCATGGGAATTTCACGTTTCACTTTTATGAAGATTTTGCTTTTTTATACTAGATGTTTTGTTAATTGTAAATTTTAATTGTTGTTGTTGTGACCTTTGTGGTGAGGTCATGTCAGGGGCATGATAAGAAGCCCCCTCAATGGTCGTGAGGGCCAAAGCCAAAAACAAAATTTATTAAGGATAACTAACAAAAATACTTTTAAAATTATGAGTATTTTGAAAAATCATATAAAAAATTTATTGAAAGTAAAAAATACCGTATAAAATTAAAAAGTGACACTTTATAAAAATTTTGTGACACAATGTCACTATTTTTAGTGACTTTTTTTTTTTTTTTTTTTTAAAAAAGGCCCCCTCAATGGTCGTGAGGGCCAAAGCCAAAAACAAAATTTATTAAGGATAACTAACAAAAATACTTTTAAAATTATGAGTATTTTGAAAAATCATATAAAAAATTTATTGAAAGTAAAAAATACCGTATAAAATTAAAAAGTGACACTTTATAAAAATTTTGTGACACAATGTCACTATTTTTAGTGACTTTTTTTTTTTTTTTTTTTGAAAAAGACGATTGAAAAAAAAGTGACAAAAATTCCAAAAA